GGATTTGTGAGCAAACATTTCAGTGGAAATGATACCTCGTCCATGGAGTCTGATGCCGTCACATTGGAGGTCCAGAGCACCATGGAGATAGGATCCCAGGGGCAAGGTAAATCTCTTTGATTCCAGATTTACAGTCGATTGTCTTCGTGCCTCAAAGTTTGTGCACCCCGGGTTCGTAGTACAACACGCCGTGATCATGAGGATTGGGCGTCTTACCTTCTGGAGGGTCGGCGAAGATGAACAGCTTGTCTCTGATGTCAGTAGCATAGCCATCACCGGTGTCGTAGTCAAATTCAACCGACATCATCTTCAAGGCCTTATCTATGTGGAATGTTGCAGTTTTCTGCCCTGATCTCTGACATCTGTAGTTGTAGCTTCTTGGTCTGACAGTGCACCTGTGGAAGTCCTTGACTTTTGTATGGACTTCAACCGTCACAGGTCCACCTGTGAACGCAAAACTCGTCCAGGACTGGGTCCTGTTTTTCTTTTCGGCTTCTTCGTTGCGTTTTTCAGCTGTGCTCATGTACACAAATAATTTGTGTTTGTGGCCACCTTGGCTCGCATACACGTCATACTTGTTGGATGGATTCACCCCGTTTCCAGGGCCATCATACACGATCAGGTTTGCACCTGCGCTGCACAGAAATGCTAAAACAACAATCCGTGACATTCTAGCTTCTCCGGATGGTAGTGGCTTCTAATCTTTTATACCATATGCGAGTCAAATTGGGACAGATAAGAAATCTTTATACTACTCTCAGCTAAGGACACCACTTTGAAAGGTAATGTGACAATATGTACACATCCACTTAAATGTTCAAAGACATCATTAGGTAAAGACGTTTTAACGAACAAGGGTCTGTTGTCATGTCCCACACAGTGCCAACAAACACCATGTGCACAGTAATCGGTCAGATCTCCTGTAAAAATGAAAGTATCTTACCAAAACTTAAAACGTTTAGAATCACAACAATTTCTTTCTCCTATAATACAACTATCAACAGCGCATGTGATCAACATGAAGTGACCATGTGATTTCATCGTCTCATGCATGGTTGGTTATTCTATATGATAGAATATTTACTGTGCAGTCACTAATTCAAAGGTATTTATCCTGATCCAAGGGTAGATTTTATTGTGTAATAAAGCTTTGGGTTCTCTCAACTGAGGACACTGTGTTTGGTCAACAAGATGTTGAAGGCCAAGTGCTGAATTTAATTGGTGATGTGTACTCCAAAACATCAGCTCTGCAGTTTTGACTTTCATCGATATTAAACTTGCAAATGGATTTTCAAGGTTGAAATCCGAAATTCGTTTTTAAAATGTTAGATTCTCAACTAATGCCTTTCTTTTCTATCTATTCGAGATGTTGGATTGTCATATATAGGAGGTATTAGATATATTGCTTAAAGCGGCGTAAAAGTAAACTCACTCATGGCTCGCTTATTCTTGTTAAGTGGAAACACCGTGTTACTGTCTTGGGCGCTACCTTTGAAGGGAGCAAAACATAAGACAGTTATCATTACTTTTGTATTTACCTCCAATACCACCACTGCAATAGTGTTTACTATAAGCATTAAGCTGAACTTACTTTTGATCAATATTGTACCAGCTGTATAATGGCAACGTAGTGATTTTCTTTACGTAGACAGGGAACACACATCAGTAACAAAACCTATTAATTCAAGAATCTCCTCGCAGAAATACGTTCAGTACCTTTTTATGCTATCATACACACAACAGATGATTTCGTTATTACATTGTTTTGTTTACGTGCTAGAATCTCACAATGATCTAACATCAGCGTCGTAGGGTGTGTACGAAAATGAAAAAACGCAGACATGCCAAACCTAAGGGAAAACTTTCTTTAATTCATTCGGGAAATGTTACAATTACCCGTGATGATCCAGGTTAGAATCGGTCTTCAGCACGGACTAGGTGGTCAGACTTGCTGACATGGTTGACACATGCCATTGTATCCCACATGTGTAGATTGATCCCCACGATGTCGGCTTATTTATAGACCACCGTCATATATATGCTGAGTGCGGCGTTAAACAACAACGATTTGTTATAAAACCCGGTGAATATAGATACAGTTACATATCCCTCTCTTCAGAAGTTCAAAAAATAAAAACAAAATGCTATCTGGAGTTTATTGAGAAAACAAAATCTGAAATATTTATGTACAATTTAGAGGCAAGACATTTTGACAAGAATCTGTAGTACTCCCTTCCTTGTTGATCTGTCGCCTTACACAGTATGAATCGGATTCTCAAAGTCAAACGAAGGTTATTTGTCCAATATGTTCAACTTCACCTTCAGGTTAAGCCCCCTCCACTGATCTACCTGTCTAAACTAGAAACAAAGGAGAACAAAGGAGTGGAAAAACATATTGACAATACCCAAGACAGTGTGGCATGGGTGATGATTTCAACTTTTCCTTTGTGCCCTAAAATATTTAAACGTTACACTTCATAAGTTAGTACGAGTGAAGAAGTTCTTTTCGACTCTTGCTGAGCAGTTGGTTGATCAATGTTACAACATAAAAGACCTCAGATAAACTTTCAAAACGGTTTTAGACAGACATGAGGAGGACATTTCCAAATCTGAAGCAGCAGTGACAGAAAATGATCGACGCAATTCCTTATTTTGACTCATACAAAATGGCTCCGCTTTTTGTTTGACGTTTTTTTAAGGGAACAATTGCCTTGCCTTTGCACGTGTTTCTGACGAGTAACACCAGCGACCCGGATTCCCTCACCTTTTCGCAATGGACCTTGTCGCTTTTATGATCAGTATCAATAACGGTTTAAAGTTCAAGTACATCAATTTATCGATACGAAGAGGCATCTAAATAGGAATCATGACAAATGTAGTACATATAGCTGCTCTCTGTTTCAGATACAAAATATGACTGACTGATCTTCGCCAAGATTTCGGGTTCAAACTGTCCCCCAGTAACCAATTCGTGTTGATGGGTGGTCGACGACCTAGTATGTATGTAAACTACAGGTTGACTCTTTCAATAATAGGAATTAACTGGAATATTGTTGGCTGCGGCATTATACTTGCGGCATAAAGCAACATTCACTTGAGTCATGAGAGTATGCATACCCCGCTCGAGGCCAGTACGTACACACACCGGGAGGTTGGACAGACCTTCATGCAGGGGCTGCAATTGACTCCAGATGGTGCAATGGGCAATGAGCCCTTCAACGACAACTGAATACCGTTGTCAGAGACTAATGACAATATAATAACATACATGTATACGGCTTTATGAGATGAGAATATTTCCCGTCAAAGGTATTTCGATTTCAAAACCAAATAATTATGAGCAATTCTTGTGGATATTATTGTAACGGGGATGGCTTTGTGTCCACAACAACACAACTTCGTTGAGGGCAGTAAGTCTGTTTATTATTTTCGGTAGTTGTTTTACACAAAGTGTACACAAATCTGAAATAATACATGCATACATAGCGCTCAGTCAAAATATCTATTCCATTAAATTCAGTTCCTCCCATTGCAAATTGGCTTTATGAATACAATTGTATTGTTACCGCTGAACATATACAACAAACTCAAAACAAATGGACATCACAAAACTAATAGTTCCGTTACATATTCAAATCCGTAGGAGTGCAATTAGGGAATATATATGGCATCTTCAAAACAACCATGAGTGAGTGAGTGGGTATGGTTTTACGCCGCTTTTAGCAATATTTCAGCACTATCGCAGCTGGGGACACCAGAAATGTTCTTCACACATTTTACCCATGTGGGGAATCGAACCCGGGAATTCAGCGTGAGGAGCGAACGCTTTAACCATTTTGCTACCCCACCGCCCCCAAACAGCCATGACACATCTCAGCGTGTCTTACCATCTATGGGACAACTTGCATCAAACTTGCCTCATGTTGTGAAACACCAACGTGCACCAAGCACCAACCAAGGACTGAATATAGTATGACTTAATTAGCATGGAAATGATAATTCTAACCAGTTAATTAATGTACAGTATGTTTGGACTCAAACATAACTGAATCAATTGCAAGTGAAATTATTGACACCAACAACCTCTAACTATCAGTCAAAGTATACCTCCACCAAATGCATAAACACAGCTATGATGAATACTGAATTACACTATCAATAATTAGACATATGTTTAGATGAATACTGATTTAAACTATCAATAATTAGACATATTTTTGTATTTGTTTCATTTTATATGAAACCAAGTGAAACTAACCTGTAATTCACCAATTCAAAATCGTCCTGTTTGCCCTTTATCCACCACGCCAGGTTAGTGAACAAACTCTACATTTACCTGATGCATCTAACTTCAACATGTTGGACATCTTCAGCCAATGAAAGCCAGGGCCAAGACATCAGACCTGACCTCAATGAGAGTGGGCTAATTTGCATAGGAACTACTTTTAACCCATCACCCAGTGTTGGCTATAAATAAATCATGGACTTGTGAAAATATAAACCTTTTTACTGACAATTATATTATTGTTTAAGGTGTCATGAATTGATCACAAACCGGCAAATCAGACACGACATATTAAAATAGATTATTATTTACGGTAGTAGGTTTACACAAAGTGTACACAAATCTAAAATAATATATGCATACATAGTGATCAGTCAAAATATCTATTTCATTAATTACAGTTAATCTCATTGCACATTGGTTTTATTAATACAACTACTTTACAACAAATAACAATGCTTAAGTTCATTGTCTTCATGGTGTAAATAATTTGTGCATCTGTTAATCATTAACTAGCCACTCTCTTCGCAACTACATAAAACCGATGTACTATGCAAATATTCAATTTGAATGGATGAATTAATCTACTACAAGGCAGTTCGATGAATTACATTGGTCTAGCATAAATATTTCTCTGTACATCAAATCTATGAACATGCAAATATCAATCTGTGTGAAACAATTTCAGATTATCAATGCATCAATATTATAATTAGCAGATTACAGTCAGTAGAGCTTGTCTGTCGGCTTGGTAGTTTTGCCAGATCCACAAACTACAATCAGCCCACAGATTACAGCCAAGTGAACACCTTGTTTTGTCAGTGTCAGATCCACAGATTACAATCATGGTTGATTGTTACCTTGACAACATGTATCCAACTGGTCAACAGGACAACTAGTTTCGACAACTAGTCGGTCATTGGAGTCACGACTCTTTCCAATGTCATCATGGTCCGATGTCATGGGCGGCCTCTTCAGGTACAGGTGCTTTCTAAGTTGCGACTGAAACATAGGCATCTGTTTTGATGGTCCTTCAAACTTAAAATCGGCAACCCTCTCGTTTACCATGGTCAGTATATCGACCAAGTGATATTCAGGAAACTCCAGAATTGTCTTGCACAGTATCCGTATATACGGAGAGCCAGTGTCGGGATCACGGTATGCAACGAATCCTGCAATGGTAGCATATGCAATTAAAAAGTCTCCAAACACTGGAAGAGTTGTTCTCTCGAGAGAGACGTCAAGGATCGATGTTGCATCGGCATTAACGATTGCTGACGGATGCTGCTTATACCCCTGACATGCCTGAATTATGAACAGCTTGGGTTTGCCGGCTAGGCTTTGGCAATCCTGGGCAGAAAACAGAGATGTTAAACGTTCAATGTTGATTGGCAGTTGATCGGCTCCGACAATCTTGTTCTTTGACCCATGAGACATGATGAAACAGACAAACATGCTGTTCGATGTATGATCCTCCTTAGATATATCGCGCATTTCTCTCATGAGTGTTGAAACATCTTTGTTCTCAATGAGTCTCATATCAAATCCAAGGGGTCCAAATGTTGATTCGATGTTTGTAACGTCCTCGTCAGCTCCGGGTCGATCTGACCCGTCTTCAAACCTTTCGTTGTTAACAATAACACACAAACCAGCATTAGCTTTCACTGGATAGGTTTGAACTCCCACGCGGTGGTCCCGACTCATACTGGCCACGTCTACCTGTGACGGACTACTGTTGATTACAAAATCTTCTCCCAAGACTTGCTGAAGAACCGCAACCAGCAATGTGTTTATGTTATGTCCCGTTTTAGCTGATACAGTAAAGTGGCCCTTCACTGGCAGGATCTTGTTAATGATAGTATCCGCAAGCTCCCTACAAAAGCCTCTTCTGTCTAACTTGTCACATTTGTTTCCCACTAGATAGGTATTTGGATTTCCTGTCGTCAAATAATGCCACCGCATGCTGATCCTTTCAGCCTTGTCGATGGTAGTTGTTTCCTCTCTGTCGTAAAACAGTAAACATGCATCTGCCTTACGGTATTTAAAGGCGAAAAGAGTTTTATAGAACTTCCAACCTCTGTATTCTCTGATGTTTAGAAGAACTTGAATTCCAATAAGCTTTTGCAGATCCAGTTCCTCAACGTAACACCTCTCACCAAGTTTCAGCTTTTTGCAGTGTGGTACAGTGGCCAGTTGCCGTATGAAAAGAGATTTGCCCGATCCTTTAGCCCCGATAACATGCAGGGTCACAGTCCTTTGACCTTTGGCCATGACGATCATGCACTATTTTCTTGGACCTATAAGAAAACAGTCAGATAGTACACAACAAGGTAACATCATGGTCAGTTCAATGTGTTTTACATTACAACTGGTCAAAGAATAACATATAAGGTTATCGTTACCCTAGCCTGTATTCCCTATCCAAGAGTATTTGACAGAGATACACAGGATGAGAGACCCTCAATAGGGTTATTTCTCAAGAGCAAGGCCTACGTGACTCCCGCCCAACATCAGGGATATCCAAGTACACTCAATATTCAAAACATATTGAAAACAATATCATTGCAGAGGTTAAAATCACATTGCAATACATACATGGCTATACACCATAAACAAGACGCATTGATTTATGGCCCGAGTTCGGTCCCTGTCACATTATGTAATTACACAGACAGGCAGGTGTGATACTTGTACACATGACATGTTATGATGTCTGTTGATAGCAAAAAGTTATGCACACAAAAAACGAGCATGTACTAGTATTTACAAAACCCAACATCTCTGTGTAAACACACACAATGAGCCGTGAGGGAATATGCAAATGAACCAGCCGTTACACTTGAGTGCACACCCACCCACTCTGACTGGGTTCGGTATCCCGGCTGCTTCGTTTCGAGGGAAGTAAACCCAAGTACAAAATATTGCACTTTTGATTTGCGATTGTACGCTTATGTTTTTATTCATAATCAGCAATGTATATTATATGTCATGAATAAGTGATAATTGTGTTTTAATTATTTTTGATTTTTTGGTTGCACGTGACCTTTAATCTATTGCCTCTGGTACATGTGTTATCTTCCCTGACATTGTATGCGAGTACAACTAACTTATGTATCCATCGGAATGAAGTCTTTAGGAGCTATTTCACCTGGACAAACGGCTGGTTATTATTCTTAGTAGTGAATGTCACTGAACATTAAACAATATGTCCTTCACATAATTTGCAGTTGTGTATCTGAAAACATTTACAGAGAGAGAGAGATATTATTATGCGTGTATTAGGAATGTATGTATGTATGTATGTATGTATGTATGTATGTATGTATGTATGTATGTATGTATGTATGTATGTATGTATGTGTAGTGTATATATATACAATGATAGTCCGAGATCAAGTCCAACAAAAGCCTCTGTAAAGCTTTATTTCACAAATAAAGCTTTTGTCAGGCCCTTAGATCTCGCCGCCATCGTATATACTACTTTTGAATCCCCAGTTAACTTCCCGGCCACACATGACACTATTGGGACGCTATGACCGCGATCCTGATCACGTTGCACTATTGTGATCGCCCTAAGTCGTGTTGACCTCAATGAATGTGAATCGCCTATAATCTCTTTGGTGTTCGTAATGAAGGCCTGCTGGGCTTTTCGTACCCCCTGGTCTCATATCTGGAACCTTCAATTGGTGCCCGTGGGAGTCAAACCTTAACTCACCCCCTCTTGGTGTCTCTTACATATTAAATGTGTGACCCGGCCTTATTATAACCTTTATATGAGGCGCCGGAATGAAAACCCCGAACAAGCTACCGTTGTTCCTAATTTCGGAGACATGTCCACGTTCGTTTAACGAGATATAAGGTGCGGTGAGGGTCATATTGATCAACCATTTGGCCTCTGCCAGAGGCTGCCGTAAGTATACACCGTCTCTTAATAGCAGGATGTACGAGCCGCCGTCCTCGCCGGGCTGATCGAATCCCTCTGTGCCTCCTAGACCCCCGAGTGTGATGTTGGGTAGATGATCGGCCATTGCCGCCCGCCTTTACACATTGTCTTTCAAGTGTAGGACGTACAAGGCATCTTCCTCACCAGGCAGATCGAATCCCTCCGTTTCCCCTAGACCCCCGAGTGTGGGGTAGGGTAGATGATCAACTATTGCTGCCCGCCTTTACTCATTGTCTTTCAAGTGTAGAGCATACAAGGCATCTTCCTCACCAGGCAGATCGAATCCCTCCGTGTCCCCTAGACCCCTGAGTGTGGGGTAGGGTAGATGATCAACTATTGCCGCCCGCCTTTACACATTGTCTTTCAAGTGTAGAGCATACAAGGCATCTTCCTCACCAGGCAGATCGAATCCTCCGTGTCCCTAGACCCCGAGTGTGATGTTGGGTAGATGATCGGCCATTGCCGCCTCGCCTTTTACACATTGTCTTCAAGTGTAGGACGTACAAGGCATCTTCCTCACCAGGCAGATCGAATCCCTCCGTGTCCCCTTAGACCCCCTGAGTGTGATGTTGCAGATGATCGGCCATTGCCGCCCGCCTTACACATTGTCTTTCAAGTGTAGAGCATACAAGGCATCTTCCTCACCATTGGCTGATCGAATCCTCCGTGTCCCCTAGACCCCTGAGTGTGATGTTGGCAGATGATCGGCCATTGCCGCCCGCCTTTACACATTGGTCTTTCAAGTGTAGAGCATACAAGGCATCTTCCTCACCAGGCTGATCGAATCCTCCGTGTCCCCTAGACCCCTGGAGTGTGGGGGTAGGGTAGATGATCAACTATTGCCGCCTGCCTTTACACATTGTCTTTCAAGTGTAGAGCATACAAGGCATCTTCCTCACCAGGCAGATCGAATCCTCCGTGTCCCCTAGGACCCCCGAGGTGATGTTGGGTAGATGATCGGCCATTGCCGCCTCGCCCTTACACATTGTCTTTCAAGTGTAGGACGTACAAGGCATCTTCCTCACCAGGCAGATCGAATCCCTCCGTGTCCCCTAGACCCCTGAGTGTGGGGTAGGGTAGATGATCGGCCATTGCCGCCCGCCTTTACACATTGTCTTTCAAGTGTAGAGCATGGGGCAAGGCATCTTCCTCACCGGCAGATCGAATCCTCCCGTCCCCTAGACCCTGAGTGTGGTAGGGTAGATGATCGGCCATTGCCGCCCGCCTTTACACATTGTCTTTCAAGTGTAGGACGTACAAGGCATCTTCCTCACCAGGCAGATCGAATCCTCCGTGTCCCCAGACCCCGAGTGTGTGAGGGTAGGGTATGATCAACTATTGCTGCCCGCTTTTACACATTGTCTTTCAAGTGTAGAGCATACAAGGCATCTTCCTCCGTCCCTGCGCTTACCAGGCAGATCGAATCCCATCCGTGTCCCTAGACCCTGAGTGTGGGTAGGTAGATGATCGGCCATTGCCGCCCGAGATTTACATTGTCTTATCACGCGTAGAGCATACAAGTGCATCTTCCCCTCACCAGGCAGATCGAATCTCCGCGTCCCTAGACCCCCGAAAGTGTGATGTTGGGTAGATGATCGGCCATTGCCGCCCGCCTTTTACACATTGTCTTCAAGTGTAGAGCATACAAGGCATCTTCCTCACCAGGCAGATCGAATCCTCCGTGTCCCCTAGACCCCTGAGTGTGATGTTGGGTAGATGATCGGCCATTACCGCCTTTACACATTGTCTTCGCGTGTAGGACGTACAAGGCATCTTCCTCACCAGGCAGATCGAATCCCTCTCCGTGTCCCTAGACCCCTGAGTGTGATGTTGGTAGATGATCGGCCATTGCTGCCGCCTTACACACATTGTCTTTCAAGTGTAGAGCATACAAGGCATCTTCCTCACCAGGCAGATCGAATCCCTCCGTGTCCCCTAGACCCCTGAGTGTGGGGTAGGGTAGATGATCGGCCATTGCCGCCCGCCTTTACACATTGTCTTTCAAGTGTAGAGCATACAAGGCATCTTCCTCACCAGGCAGATCGAATCCTCCGCGTCCCCTAGACCCCGAGTGTGATGTTGGGTAGATGATCGCCATTGCCGCCGCTTCTTGCACATACATTGTCTTTCAAGTGTAGGACGTACAAGGCATCTTCCTCACCAGGCAGATCGAATCCCTCCGTGTCCCCTAGACCCCTGAGTGTGATGTTGGGTAGATGATCGGCCATTGCCGCCCGCCTTTACACATTGTCTTTCAAGTGTAGGACATACAAGGCATCTTTCCTCACCAGGCAGATCGAATCCCTCCGTGTCCCTGTGACCCTGGAGTGTGGGTAGGGTAGATGATCGGCCATTGCCGCCTCAGCCTTACACATTGTCTTCAAGCGTAGGACGGCTGCAAGGCATCTTCCTCACCAGGCAGATCGAATCCCTCCGCGTCCCCTAGACCCCTCGAGAGGTGATGTTGGGTAGATGATCGGCCATTGCCGCCCACCTTTACACATTGTCTTTCAAGTGTAGAGCATACAAGGCATCTTCCTCACCAGGCAGATCGAATCCTCCGCAGGTCCCTTGTGACCCCTGAGTGTGTGATGTTGGGTAGATGATCGCCATTGCCGCCCGCTTTTTACACATTGTCTTTCAAGTGTGGACGTACAAGGCATCTTCCTCACCAGGCAGATCGAATCCTCCGCGTCCCTCAGACCCCTGGAGTGTGATGTAGGTAGATGATCGGCCATTGCCGCCCCGCCTACACATTGTCTTTCAAGTGTAGGACGACAAGGCATCTTCCTCACCAGGCAGATCGAATCCTCCGTGTCCCCTAGACCCCTGAGTGTGGGTAGGTTGCAGATGATCGGCCATTGCCGCCTCGCCTACACATTGTCTTCAAGTGTAGAGCATACAAGGCATCTTCCTCACCGGCTGATCGATCGGTCCCTAGACCCCTCCGCGCCTCGCCTTTACCCTTTCAGACCTGCATCTTCCTCAGGCAGATCGAATCCCTCCGGGTAGTGTGATGTTGGGTGATGATCGGCCATTGCCGCCCGCCTTACACATTGTCTTTCAAGTGTAGAGCATACAAGGCATCTTCCCTCACCAGGCAGATCAGCAATAATGCACCGAACGAAGCACAACAA